TTGGAACGTGATTGCACGTAAAGAAATAAAGTTCTGAACCCAAGAGAGGGTGTAGGTGGGAGGGTAAACCTCTTGGGTCTACCCTAGTCCTTGAACCGAAGGACTGCAAATATCAAACAGATCACATGTTCCAGAGCAACATGTTGAAGTTTAACTTGGAACGGTTTCACGTTTCGCAAGTTTCAAGATGAGTTTACCTCATAACCTCAAACTTCAAACCACCAACTCTGAAAATAACAGCAGTTGTGGAAACGAGTTTAAGGTTTCAAAAGAAATAAGAAAGATTTTGTTTGTTGTGGTTGGTTTCTTTTGCATAGCACAAGATATGCAAAAGATTTTGCTTTGAGAAATAAGGTTATCATCCTTTCAGGAGCGCTAACTTATTCCTCTAGCAAAACCACCAACAACACAAACCAAGGAACGCAGAACCAGCGAGCTGGCATGAATGGTCACTCACAAATTCCCGCTCCGCGTTAAAATTATATATCGAACAGACTATATCAGTATTCATATACTGTATGGCGTTCGCAAAACGACGGGTTACGCGCCACTAGATATCTACCGAAAATAAAACGTGCAGTCCGGAAAGTGGAATGACATGTCTGAAAAATGCAAATGCAGACACTCCTTTTTTAAGCCAAGGGGTTGATCCACATATTGCGATTCGGTTTTCATCCGGCTGAGTCTGAGCACCCGCCTTCACCCCAATCCCAAATTGTGCTCAGCTTCTTCAAGTTTGAGCAGGATCACATCCCAGGCACATTTGTCTTGCATTGCACCACGAGTCACCAAGTCTTGAACTTCCATGCGACTCGGGGCATCTGCTATGTTAGAGTAGCTGCAGACACGACCAAACCAAACTTTCCATTGGGATGAGTCTTCGCTGGATACAAACATCTGGACAATGACATTTCCCATCGGTGTTGAGGAGTAGGCTTTAATTAAAGCCAAGCGTGATGCTTCATTGTCGATGTACATGACAACGTATCTGCCAGTCGTTAAGCCTCCCCAAAGGAACGCCGCTATGTAGCCGGCCAAAAGTTCAATGAGATAAATAGGGTTATCAGAAACCTCCAGAAAACGCTTCATCACCAAGGCTGGAAAGTTTTCACTGAAGAAGCGCAAGGGTCTGCCCTTGTGATCAAGAAGCACTCCACCAACTGAACCCTTCAAATTTTCTGCATCAAAAGCTCCATCTGTAAATATCAAAACTGAGTCCTCCGTTTCAGCTGTCAAAAGAAGGGGTGAGCCGGTCTGGACTCTTGTACGCAAGAAAATCAAGGAGAAGCGCAGCTCATCATCAAGTTTGCTCTTGGTTTTGGACCCCTTCTGTTGCGCTCTCTTGCCAATACGGTGTATAGAGAGGTTGGCTATACGCCCAAAAAGGTAAGACTCAAACCATTGAATACGCCCTCTGAATGACTCAGCCTCCTTCGGGGTGAGGGAGTCTTGTTCCAGTATGCTGTTGATCTTTGCAAGAAGCTCTGCTCTCCGTTCAGGGGTGTGTTTGATGTATACCACCCCTTCATCAAATTGCGACAAGTCAAATATTAAACCCAAGGCTTTCATCTCTGGCCCGAAGGCTTGGCTTTTCTTTCCTTCCTTTGCAAACTGGATGCCGAGCATGTCAAAAAGCAGCCCCACGCACTGATCTGTTGATTTTGACAGCGCAGCCACCGACATGGTGGGGAAATCATCGAAGAAAGCACTGCACCAAACCTGTAGCCCCGCACTAAGGATGAAAAACAATGCGGAGATCACTCTCAGGAATCCCGCGACGCTGCCTGTAGCTCCAAAAGGCAGCGAATTCAAGCCAAACAACTTTGGTTCGTTGGAGTCCGGGTCGCGGATGGCGATTCTGAGATGAGCTCGGTCTGTTGAGTGCAGCGGATACTGCTTGTAGGCAGATTTGAGGTCGAAGGTTTTACCTTTCAAACAAACTTGGTGGCCTTGATCGCGTAGGACAAGGGCGCGGATCAACGAGGCTGCAATGAAGTCCACTCCATGGAGCGTGAATTTCTCTGGTAATCCGCAAGAGTCATTGAGGCCACAAAGTTTAAAATTATCTATCACTCGAACCTTCTCTCCCTGCTGAAGTCCAAAGCGGTGAGCTATGACCTTGCCGCTCAAGTCGCCAGTGTTGTCTTCCCAAATCCAGTGCTTGTCCAACTCTGCTAAAGTTTCAGTCCAAGCTGCACGGTGAAGACCTTCGTCCTCTGGTTCCGAAACCTTTTGAAGAACCGCTTCCTGTAGCCCCAACGACGACCGCAGCAAAGCCTCAAAGGTCAGCTTTGGGGGCCTAGGCAAGCTCAAAAACAGTTGTGAGTCCCTCATCCATCCAGAGAGCCGAAAACCTGCCACTATGTCCTCGAACAACTGTTTGTCCGGGAACTCCAAGTCCTCCAAAATTTCTTTGAAGAGCAGAAGCCTCTTCCCTTGCAGAACATGCCTTACGTGTTCATTCAGTTGCTCTTTGAGGTTGCGTTCATCCACCTCAAGTTCTTTTGCTCGAGCCAGCCATCGCTTGAAAAAGGAGAGTCTGTGTCGTTCCAAGTCTTTCCAGTTCTGTCCCAAATTTGCCTTCAAAAGAGTGTCCAAATGCGGGCTCCCAGCATAGGGTAGGAAGCGTGGGTGTCCTACCAAGGCAGCTTGGTGTACAAAATCCCAAGGTTCTCTTGGGATGCCGATGGTGATCAGCTCTACCTTCATGCTTTCTGGAACTTCTTGAAGTCCTAAATATTGTAAAGATGCATTCACTCGCCCGGAAACCCGCATGTCACCCCCTGTCAAAAGTTTGCGGTCAGTGATTCTGGCTCCTTTGACCAGGTCTTGTAAAATGATTTTAGCATCCATGTCAGGCTTGATCGCAAATTGAACATAGTGACCAAACTCGCTCACTAGAGGACGAAGTTTTTGCCCACGTGGCAACAATCCCATGGCAACCGAATTGACTGCTGTGTTTCTTCTCTCACCAATTTGTTGCTGAAACGTATCTGGTTGCTCGATGCCTTTGCTTTTAAGGTCTGCAACCAGTAATGCTGCCACTCTGGCGCATAACAATTTCGGGTACTCCGCTTCGTCCTTTGTTGGGTAATGTACCCCATCTGCTGTTATTGTTGGTGTCCATGGCTTATGGTCATGATCAAGCGAACATGGTAAATTAAAGGAATTGAAGAAATCATCGCTGCACCACCATGTCGTCTGCTTTTGTCTATCTCCGCCCATCATGCAGTTATGAAAAATATTGATGTATCCAGGGTGGAACTGCAGGAGCTCGACAATGGGGTCGGTTTTCCAAAACAGTGAATTGGTTGGGTTTTCAATTGATACCCTTATGTTCAAAGAAATCGCCAGCATTGCAATCCGCTTGGTGGCCTCATACAACAAATTTGCTTGCTCCACTTTGTATCTGTCAAGCCCAGCTATGTGCGGCAGCCCCATTGGGAAATCTTCCGATCTCAGTTGCTGAGGTGGCGTGATTCCAGCTTCACGCAATCTTTCTGAGATGTCTGGTGGCAGCTTGCGTTTACGAGCTGCTGATCCAGTTCCGCAAGGTGGAGCCAAATGTATTAGACAAAGATTGTGTTGTTCTTGCACAATAAAATTTTCCAAAAATTTGAGGTCTTCTTCCAATGTCAAATCCAAAATTGTAATGGGCCCCTTTGCTCGCTCTGTGGTTTTGTCCACAGCTACTCCTCTGAGGTTAGTTTTTCTAACCTCCATTGTCAGGCTGGAAGTTCCAGCAAAAATTTCGAGAAACAACATGTTTTGAAACAACGTTGGCCTCTCTGTTGCTATATGGCTTGCGCCTGTGAAACCGCTGTCAGGCATATTGTCCTTTGGAGTGCTATGCCCTGTTTGTACCCAACTTCCGCTTGCTCCGTCTGCACTGTTGTTGCTGGGAGCTATTGTAGCCTCATGACTAAGTCAGTGTTGGGGTTTCTTCCCTGGCGCAGCCTTGCAATTCTGAAAGGAGTGACCCGCCTTGCGGCAGTAAGCACAAATATGTGCGCCTTTGCGGCACTTGGGCGGCTGTCCCGTGGCTTCCAAGGTGCAACCGTTCTGTAAATTGTAGGCCCAGCATATGGGCTTCCCATCGGCCGTCTGCTGGTAGCAAGTCTTCAACTCTTCAGGAGGAGTTGGCTGGGTGCGATTCCTCTTGCTAGGCCTGGCTTTCTTCTTCGGCTGAATTGTGCCTGCTGCATGAGTGGACCCAGAAGATTTGGGCGCTGCTGCGACTGCTGCAGGACTGCGCGTGGGCAAGGCTAACATGTACATGGTGATGCGAGGGTCGTGCATCAATTTCTCAATTGCTTCGTCTAATGGCCTCTTCCCATTGATGTCAGGTTTGACTGACGCGATGTCTCTGGCCAACATTGTCCACATCGCTTTGTCTGCCGCTACAAGTTGTTGAAGAGTGACCCTTGCAAACCCAGGTGGAGGATCTGTAGAATAGGCCGCAAACAATGTAGCCAACCACTTTTGGGAAGTTTCCCAAGAAACCAGCTCGCACATCTCAAATGCCACTCCACGCCTTTGAAGGCACCATTGCAGTTTGATCTCAGAGCCATGGTCTGCGTCAGCAACCTTTGGCCCCTCTGTGTTCACTTTCAAGGTCTGGGCTTCGATCCGTAGCACTTGTTGCGAATCTTTTGGGGCAGCCTGGACCTCAGATTCTCGCTTGGTACACAAGGAAGGTGATATCCATACCACTGCCCCTGTGTCGTACATGAGTTGGCACTTGTCCAGCAACGCATGTGAAGGTTCTGTTTCGCCTTGCACCAAGAAACCAGGGATCTTCTGTCTGACTTTTTCATACCTTGCTTGTTTTTCAGCAAAGGGTAATTTCTTAGCTCCATCAGCTGCATCACCCGTCACAGAAGATTTCAGTTGGGACAGGACGAACGTGGCAGCTTCAAAATGAATACGCCGCAGGATACTCTGCTGTCCTGCTGTGAATCCTGCACCCAAAATGGAGGTGGTGAAGGCCCTGAATTCATCATCTGTTGGCGCCTTGTTAGGTGCCCCACAAGCAAACGCCAGTTCAGAGAAGCTTGCAATGTTCTGCGCTCGCAGCAAATCGTTCAAATTCAGTGTAGCTGTTGACAGCTCATTGCATCTCTGCCTAAACGCTGCTTCAGAATCTATCAATGTCATGGCGCAGGAAACCAATATCTGCGATGATGATCCTTTGGAACTCTTTGCATGTTTTGTTTTGAAACTCTCTGCAAATGGTACATCGACTTTCACATGTTGAAATCTGAAATAAAAATCTTGGTTCAGCATTGGCAAATTTGCACGTAGGCTCAACGTGTTTGGCAATGCAAATTACTGAGACTGAAACATGTTAAGTCACTCCATGTTTAGTCAAGCTCTTCACAGTGAGCTCAAACGCTCACTTTGTTGAACCTGGAAATGAAACCGCGGTCTCAACTGAATGCTGCACTCAACAACACGCAGTGGGTTGGCCCTCAATCAAGGTGGAAAGAAACCACCCTTGATGGGTCAGAAAAATAACATTGGCATCAAGATATGTACATGGTTAAGCCTCTTGTGTCAACTCTGGATGAACCACTTTTGACATCAGGCAAAACAAAATTTTCCACGTCAAAGCTTTAGTGACCCGTTTCGGATGAACCGCAAACAGCCTCTATGCTTTCAGTCAAAGTTGGTTGAACCACACTTGACCCAAACAAAAATAATCACCACCTTGGAAGTTAAGTTCAAGACTCACTCTGCCAGGGGGATTTCAACGAAAATGACGTGTCAATTGAAATTGAATGTCGACAACATTGCGCACAGCTGACAGCAAATCTGGAAATGTTTGCAAACAGAATCTGGAAAAGAAAAACATACCATTAGATACGGCCAACTTCAAAGCCAACCACAGTGTTGGCCACATGATACATGCGCACTCCTTTTCGACCAAGAAACAATAGAAAAAGGAGTGCTTCTTCAAACCTGAGCCTGGTGCCAAACTTTGTCATTCACATTGCCGCTAATCGGTGGAAGCTTGCCATTTTCCGTCGCACCGTTTCGGCAACGCGACTTCTGTTCAGTCCATTCTATGCTTTTTGCATACATGGCATGTTGCTGAGTCGTATCTCAGTTGTGAGGGCACGACAAAGTTCTGGTCCAACAATCGACCACAGCGAGTTCCACTAGGAAATTTGGCATCCACCAAGTGCAAGGTTTTTGTCCTCCTGTGCTGCATGAAATGGTACCCTTCCGGTGCTCGTGGGGGCAAGAAGACCCTGACTGGCTCCTCAAGCACAACGCTTTCAGCTTCACTGTCAGAAGAGGAACTCGTATAATGATCCTCATCAATCTCTGCAGTTTGCGTCTCAACCACTTCCACAGCATCCGACAACTTCTTGTCAATCGTTTCTTCCATGAAAAAGTTTTCACCATCACTGTCATTAAAAGACTGTGCACCAACATCTGAACTGGGATCAGGCATGCACTGCTTGTTGAACCTTCCAGCCCTGCTGCAATCTGGATTGAAATACCCAGACTGGATTTCCAAAAGCAACTTGTCCACTAAGCGTATGACCCTTGCCTGGGCATCCCTTGCATATGTGTCAGCCATTTTAAATGGATGTGCGTGATGCCCCATCGCCAAACGGTCCTCGTGCTTGAGGCCCCTCTTAGCAGCCATTGACAATATTGTTGCTTTGAGGCTGTGAGACGAAATCAATCTGTTGCTTTGTAACCTGCTTGAAGACTCACCCAAAAGCAGTCTAAGCCACGTGCTGGCCTCGTCACTCTCCAGCGACCGTTGCAAAGCCGTTCCATCGTCTGCTGGTGCCGGCACAAGAGACTTGCCAGGGGAGTGGACGAGTGGGTCCACACCTATGCAAGACAAAGCATGAATCCATTGTTTGATCCAGTCACCCCCACAGATACCTTGGCCTGATGCCACAAGGTCCAAAAATTTGAACCCCTTTGAGGATGCACGCATCGTTTTGTGAATCTGTACTTCCATGTCAGCATATGCAACCCTGCCGTCTGTCTCCAAGACATCCAGCCTAATGCAGCTCCCATGAACAAAGTCGCTCCACCGGGCTCGTGAGTAAATGCAAAACAAAGCAGCGCCACAAAATACTCTGTTCCATGTGTCTCCACTCTGTAAACACTCATGCAGCTTCTGGACATCTGCAACTGTCAATGGAGCAGCCTGTTTGACCTTTCCAGGGACTGCATCGCCAATCGCACCTAGACAGCGCTTGCTCACCGTGATGTCATGGAGGTCGGGCACGTCAAAGGAGCACCTGCAGAAAGTGATGGCTTCCAAAACTGATTTTAAACAACTGGATGAAGTTCCAACTGCTTTCAAGGTCTTGACAAGTCGGTACATGTCAGGTTCACCAATCGGCCAAAAATATCCAAGGTCATGCAACTTGTTGTGCAGAAATACCATGCTGTTAGCCCTCTTCACCAAAGTGGCAGGAGCCTTCCCTGACAGGTAATCACCAAGAAGCCCCATTGATTCATCTATGGTTGCACACGCTGTCAACTCCTGTTTACATCGCCAAGAGTCAGGCCAATTCCCAACAATTGCAAACCATTTCTTCAGTGATCTCTGAAGCTCAGACTCCCGCTTCTCCGTCCACAACTGATCCTTCCTTCTGGAAACTGCCATCTGGAAAATGGGTTTGTCTGCCATCGCACTGCTAGAATGTCCAAGTTGTGAATGAGTCCCAGGAGTAGGTCTGTCATGCAAAAGTTTTGGAACCTTGAGTTTTGGTTCAAACTGAGGTACCAGCGCATCCATGGGATCGTAGTTGGGGTCGAAAATGCAAGCCCACTCATTACTCTCCCAAGGCAGTTGAATAGGACCCTCTGAAATGTCTCTAACTGCATGTGCCAGCAAATTGTCAAAATTAAAAGTAGACTGTTCTGAAGCATGAGGAAAACCAAGTGCGTCTGAATGATTCGGCAATGACTGCTGAAATCCTATCTGGAGCTCTGGACCATCTGTCCTTGTCGGCGCAGGGCTAGGAGGCCAGCCACACTCATCTTCAAGCGGATTGTCTCCAAACAAAGCAGGATCTTCAGAATCAAATGCGTCTCTTGAAACATCAGGTAAAGACAGATAAAGATTAGAATCTAACTCATCAATACCAGGATCCATGCCAAACCATCGCACAACCCCCCAGCTAAACCTCTTGGGTCTACCCTAGTCCTTGAACCGAAGGACTTCAAATATCAAACAGATCACATGTTCCAGAGCAACATGTTGAAGTTTAACTTGGAACGGTTTCACGTTTCGCAAGTTTCAAGATGAGTTTACCTCATAACCTCAAACTTCAAACCCCAACTCTGAAAATAACAGCAGTTGTGGAAACGAGTTTAAGGTTTCAAAAGAAATAAGAAAGATTTTGTTTGTTGTGGTTGGTTTCTTTTGCATAGCACAAGATATGCAAAAGATTTTGCTTTGAGAAATAAGGTTATCATCCTTTCAGGAGCGCTAACATCAAGGATGTATGTCCCAGCCCATGTCGGGTGTACCTTGTGAAGACCAGTGTCAGCCGAAATGTGGACAAAGACAACTGTAGTGAGTTCGCCATATGGACCGACATATCGTAGCCGTTCTTTCCACCAAGCAGCGACCATTGGCCAATGGCTGAGCCCAGGCACAGACTTGACCTTGTCGGATTGCAGATCCCGATTGTCCGTCACCAGATATACCGTGTGGTAGGGCAGAAATGCTGAGCTCTGACTAACCAACCATCGGTACAACTTGTGCCAATCAGGTCCAGGTAAGGTTTCACGCCCGTCGACCATGGCAATTTCATAGTCATGCCGATCCGGTGCAGCTGTCTTCTTATGGGGGTCTCCGAATCGCCAGTGCTGCTCAATCGATACATTTAGCCCGTATTCCGTCGAAATGCTTTTGTGCTGTTCAATTGCGTAGAGCAAGTCAAAGAAACTAATATTAGGGTTCTTTTCATGCCAAGACTTCGCCACCTGTTCTCTGGAGAGCAGAGACATCACACTGTGAATTCCTGGGCTACTGATTTGGTGGTGGAGATGAAGAAAGGGGGAGGGAGGGAGGTGTTGAGAATCCTGACACGTCCTTGGTCAGAAGACTCAAGCACACCAAGTGAAAAACCAGGAAAACCGACAGGGAGGAACAAAAGAAGGACAAACAAAGCAGGCAGCAAAGGAAAAGGGTCAACAGCACAACAACGACGAACGAATCAAACAGGGGGGAAGAGGGGGGGCAAGTGTTGAAAAACCTGACACGTCTTTGGCCAGGCAGTTCAAGCACCCAGAGCACCAACTAAAAGGATCAAATCAAATAGTCAGGACAAAGAGCCTAGGAAGCAATGGCTACGCGAGGCAGAGCAAGCGTAGTGAGCGAAAGAGGTGAATCAGGAGGAGGGAGCAGGAAGAAGAAGCTGGAAGCCCTGACAGTCTTTTGTCAGAGAATCCAGGCACGAAGAGAGAAAAAAGAAGAAAGGGAGAAGAGATGAAAGGAGGCGCTGATAACCCTGGCACGTCTTTGGCCAGAGAAACCAGACGTTAAATGGAAGGAAACGAAAAGCAGGAAGAAGTGGAATGAGCAATGATGAGTACAATCGGAATGTGGTCACAATGCACGAGAGATCAATATGTACTTTGTGGAGTGAAGAGGAAACTATAGCAATACCCTTCGCCCAATAATCGGGAAGTTGGCAATTTCTATCCCGTAACGTAATGAGGAAGAACTGTATGGCCCTTTCCTGAAACTGAGCTAAGGTAGCAAGACTGTCTACGACTGTCTCTTGAGCCGATGGGATCGCAGGGAGCAGCATCTCTCTGTGACAGAGCACACGGTGCTAGTACATTACACATATCATGATGCAAATGGAAAATGATGATGTGTACATTCTTTCGTGTGTATTAAGATAACAGGCAGGCCGGAATTCCTTTTTGTCTGATGCTCACATCCTACTGGGCAGATATTCAACTGGAGCTCACTATTAGTCGACTTGGTGTAGGAAAGTTTCTCCCTGGTTGAGCTCCGGGGGTGTCTGCAGCTCAGGGCGTAGTTGCACTGGTAAAGACAGGCCGTCGAGTATTTTGCGCCATCGATATGTGGTGAAATTCGTCTGTCGTGACTGTTGGTCAATGATGTGGTGGTACTTCCACACTATTTGTTTCATGATAGCGGTGGCCCTATCTGTCAAAGCAGTGAGTTTGATTCGCACCTGAGAAGGTTGTTCACTTCTCACCACATCGGAGGGGCTACTGGCACGCTGTAACATGTCAATGACTGTGTCATCGTTGCTCTGCTCCGCAGCAGCTTGTACAGCGTTGAAAACTTCTTTACGGGCAGGGTAGCCATACCATTCCAGGGAATGGCAGAGCACTGAGGCAATCGTGATCTCCTGCCACGGGTCCGCTTGTGCGTCTAGGAGCAGCTGTACATTAGTCCTATGTCGATGGAGGACAGCAAGGAAAAGTGGGGGGAGCGCTCCTTTCACGGGAATCACCGAGGCACCAGCTTCAAGCAAAATTTGCACATGCTGCGAGCTGCCCAACTCAACTGCTAACTCCAACATGGTGGTAGGTTTTGTTTTGGGCGGAATGATATTGGGGTCAGCATGGGCTTGTAGCAGTAGGTAAGTTAGTGTGGCTCCATGTCGAGGGAAACAGTGGCCAGCAGCAGGCTGGTAAGCATATGGATCAGCAGAATGGTCTCGAAGGATAGCTGAAGCTATTAAAGTGCTAATATGCCTTTCCTCCGTCGTCATGTCTATAAGGCCTACGCCCTTACCAAGGAGATAGCTTACATCAATCACATCCTTGTGACAAATGGCAGTGAGAAGGTCGCGGTATTGCTGCGCCGACGGGACTTGTAACAACTGCACTATATAGCAGAATGTTGTCTCATTTGCATCTGTGTCGAACTGAACAGCCCTCAAAGGCGATTGGATTACTGACGAGCTGGCTGCATATAGGACAATTTGAAAAGGTGAGTCCAACTCGAGCACCTTAGCCGTCTGTTTCATAATATCCCATCCGAGGGTTGTCCGTTCCACGACGTCCATCGTCAGGGCTGCTTCCCCACGGATTCCATGGCAGACACGGAGTCGCATACTTACCCCTGGAAATAAGTAAGCGGAGGCAACCCTGACAGTCTTTAGCCAGAGAGGCCACGCACTTATATTTGCAACCGCGAAGTTTAAAGATGCCTGGGTAGGGTGCAGAGGGGTGTATAAGGAAATGTAAAAAGGATAGCAACATGTCAGACCATCTGAATTTGAGCCGGTATTGCTTAGCAGATTACGAGAAACAATTCTCAAGGGCATGCAAGCTGAAACAAAGAAAACAGAATAGCCAGTCAGAAGCAAACGGCCCGTGCTGTATAGCATGTCTAGGATCCCATAGGTCGAAAGATCGATCTAGTGGGTATGTGACTAGACTTGTATCAGGAGAGCCTCGGTGAGGGTCAGGAATCCGATACTGTTATTTGAACCAAAAAATGCTGCGGGCCTTCATTCAAGCAGCGTGACAAGGGGTCCCATGCAAAACAAAAAGCTCCTCTACTCAACTTCAACTTTTCTGTTGGCAAAGTTAGCAACTAGTGCACTTGCCCTCTTTTCATGTCCTGCATCCTCAGAATGAGGAAAAAGCCACAGTCTTCGCTGCAGTTCCTTCGGACTATAGTCAGCATGCAGATATCAAAGGTCTAATGTCACTCAGGTTTGACTTCCCTCTGTAGCTGGATCTGTGCACGATTCTGTCGGAGCAGCTGAAACAGCTTGAACCAACTCTTCTTCTTTAGCAGTGGCTTGTTCATGCTCGATCTGTACCAAATTGCCCACAACTTCTTCCATTTGAGTGGCTGCCTCTATTGCGAAGGTTAATAGAGTGCGTGCATACGCCAGCTGTTTAGCGGCCCGGGCCCGACCCTCTGTTGCAGGTCCTAGCGGCGGTACCTCACCATGCCGCCACATTGTGACTTTGCTTGTTGTATGCACTGGCATGGAGGGTGATTGCGGTTCCGATCGACCAGCAAAGGTCGCATTGAGTTTCTGCAAGTCGCGTACACTGTAATTCCCAGTCGGGTCGAGCTGTTGGGTACTTGTCTGTCCCGTGGGGTCTGTGTACTTTCTTTTACCATGCAAGTTCTCCTCTCTTCGCGGCATAGACTTTATGGCACTTTTGTGTTCAAAGCCAGTCTTGAAAGTTTCGTGAGCTGCTGAACTACAGCGGGATTCTCTGTTCAGGGCAATCAGTTTGTCCATCACCTTGCCTGAGCTATTGGTCATTTCGGTGAAGGGCCAGCAGGGCGTGCGATTCGCCAGGATATTGTGCTCATGCATCCGGTCAACATAGAAATGATTCAATTTCTCATTGTGTCGGTGGTTCGTGATGACTGCAAATCTTCTGGGACTGACCCAGACCCATAAATCCTCCTGAAAGGACTCTGTGGCGTAGAAGGGCCAGATCTGCCGGCCTCCCATTTCCACAAAAGAGAAATTGGTATAGACGTCATCACTGGCTTCGGTATCTATATGACAAAAGTCATGTGACAGCTTGGCGGAACTGGACCCAGGATAAGTCCAGTCCAATGGGCTCTTCATGTCATCATTGAGAATAATGTTCCAACATTCGCCATTGATGCACATTCTATATTCGTAGAAAGACCATGCATGGAGCTGCTTGGCGTGCTCATAGCAGCCCTGCTGCCGATAGACCTGGATGCCGTCGTATTCCATAATGTAGGACTCTTTGTATTCAAGTCGCTGGTGTTCACTGTGAGCCTCAGTATCATTACTGCCACCAGCTGGTCCCGCTTGGTCAGGCCCAGTCAGTGGGCCTGCTTTTAGCGTGACCTTGTCACCGATCCACTGCGCCATGACTGCCGCCCAAGGTTGAAGAGGGGTATGGCAGAAGCAGGAGCGGTGTACAGGAAGAGAGAGGAGAGGAAGCAATCACAGGCGAGTGAGAGGGACGGACCAAAAGGTAGACACGAGAGGCCAACAATTAGGGACAGCAGCAGCGGTAGCAATAGGGGGCAGCCAAAGAGAGGGGAAGAAGATGACGGCAAAAGAGAGGGAAGGCAAAATAGAGAAAGGGTACTCCCC